TTATAACAAAGATCCAAATGGAAAATCTAAAACCAAAAAATCCAATATCTGAAATTAAAAAAAAAATCACTGTATGAGCTTATTAACAACAGATTGGAAATAGCAGAAAAGTTAATGACTTTGAGGACAGATCAACAGAAGTCATCCAATATAAAGAATGGAGAAAAAAGATTTTAAAAGATTAGCAGAGTGAGGGACCTAAGGGACAATAGCTAAAGATCTAATATATATGTAAACAAAGTTCCAAAAGAAGAATGAAGAGAATAGGGGAAAACATATATCTGAAAAAGTACTGGCCAAAAGTCTTTTATATTTCATGAAAACAGAATTCTCAAACATTGGTTTTAGCGGGGTGTAAACTGATTTGACTTTTATGGAAAGCAACTTGGCAATGTGAATTAAAGATCTTAAAAGGATTCATATGCATTTTAAGCTAGTAATTCCCCTTACAGGAATCTATACCTAGGAAATAAGTAGAGATAAAGTAAAAAATGTATTTAAAGAAATGTTTCTCAAAGAATAATTTGTAATAGTAAAACTGCATATTATCCCATAACAGACAAATTTTGAGTAATACTTGTCAAACAATAAATATTTGTTGAATGAATGAATGAATATCAAGTTTTCATAACATAATGACATCATAAATTATAACACACTGAAAAAAGCAAAAATAAAATTCTGTATAAGCATAATTCCTATTGTAATATAGAATACATTATTATAAGAGATAGAAAGGGGGAAGAGGCTCAAAGAACCGTCTCTGAACAGTAGGATTATGAATGATTTTTATCTATTTCATTACATTTTTCTATATTTTTAAGAATTTTATAATGTGAATATATTTACTTATATGATCAGAAAACTGGATTCATCAATATGAAGCTATAAATATATACCAAGCATATCCTTAATACCTGTGTCATACATATTTTGCTCAAGTTTACCTTGGTCCAGTGTCACTCTCATTCATATCCAGATTGAGCTCTTGGAGTTTACTAATCTCTTTATGAGCAACCGGTTCTCTTGAATTAAAAACAGCTTGAGTTCTTAACCTGCAAAAATAAATTTAGACATAGAAATAGAACAAGTAATCCTAGAATTTATATGGTACCACAAAAGATCCCAGATAGCTAAATCTTGAGAAGGAAGAACAAAGTTGGAAGCATTACACTCTTTGATTTCAAACTATATTGCAAAATTATAGTAATCAAAACAGTACTG